ATTTGGGGTAGAGAGATAAGAGGCCACTCAAATTCTTGTACCCAGCTCTTTGACAGTCAGGAGACCTTACTAATATGTGGTCTGTGGCTGTGATTTGTTTGCTTTGTAATATAGTTTTCCTATCTTGGTCTGCATCACGAAATTTAATTCTTCCCTAAGCTCATTCAGAAGTTCAAAAGAAATCTCCCAAATGGAAATTATACAACGTAAAAACTATTTTTTTTTTTAAAAAAAAAAACATTAAGCCCTTACTCTACTACTAATGTCAAAAATCTGCAATTTTTCTTACTGCAGGCCCAGCAGGCGTTAAGAAATAGCCGAACATTCCCTGACAAAATAAACTTTAAATTTCTGAAGCTGGGACGGAGTAGAGGGATCTGCCCCTACCCTCTGCAGCACATACTTGCTGTTATTTGCTGAATGAAGTTCCCAAGTGCCACAACTATCCAAACCAGGTGGACAAAGAACTGTGGCCAAAATTAAAGAGCAAAGCAACTTCAAGAATTTGTTTCAACTACCTTACTTCTCATACCTGCAAAAGCTTAAGGCAAGTACACAAAAGCAGCCGTGTTCAACAGCTAGGAATTCAATGGTTTCTGCTTCTCAATTTTCAAACCTCTGCTTCAGAGTAGGGTGGATGGGGTAGGAGCAGTAATCAGGCTTACAGGTCATCAGCATTTCACAATACAAAGACTAATGCTATGAGACAAAATTTCCCAGTCAGAAAATAAATGGTGAATGCTTAGAAAACAAAATTTCCTTATTAGGGTGGCGGTAAAATTGAGGGAGTTGTCATCAGAGGAAAATGTAGCCCTGCAATTTCAGGATTAGGATATGAATTAGAGCATTCTCTAGATGCCAAGCTATTAGCTCCTAGGTCAAAGACAAAAAGGTCCTCTCTGTTCAAGATTTTTGTGCTCAAAAAAGTCTTCGCAGCATCCGCTTTCTCTTGTCCGACAAGGCTGGGTTCTGAAGACTTGTGTGTGCTTATGCTGAAAAACAGCAGGATGTAAGACTTTCCATATTAATCATGAGGATTACCCGAAGTAATGCCAGGCACGGCTAATAGATTTGGGAATGAAGAAACACTTCAAGTTAGAGCTGCACTTAAAAATCACTAGATAATTGTTGGATCTGCAGAGAAGGCAGTCCTTTCTTTAGACTCACCACTAGTAGGTGTAAGTGGGTGTCATCTCTGGCTCTGAGAATGGAGAAATAGGAAAGAAGATGAATAAAGAAAAATGAAGCAAAGACTGAAAAATTGTGAGAAATCAGCCGTATCATCATTATTTCCTCCTAATGCACACAGCCACACACGCACACAGATATTTATAATTGCTTTATCAATACGAGCTTTGCTGACCATTTCAAATCCAACCTATGCCTTAAAACAGGTAGCGTACGTGCTCAGAAGACAAATATTCACTTGAGCAGGAAAACATAAGACCAATTCAACAGAGCAGATCATACATTTTTAACCTCATAGCACGGCAGGAAAATGCTTTAAACCTGTAGCAAGTCAATGAGAAATCTTCCCTACTGGTAAGCACAATAGCAGCCATCCATTTCAATAGAAGTTTATCAGCAGTGAAACCTGACCGAGATAAATGACGAAGCTGTTGAGCCACAGCCTGCTTCTGCCTGCTGCAGGCTGCCAGATAAAATGGGAACAAAAGCTCCCTGCTGTACCCCCTACCAGTCTCCATTAACCCCTGCTGATGCTTTATTATCGTCTGGGGGCTCCAGAACAGCATAGCATGAATCAGTGTGTAAAAAATAAAAAATAAAAAAAGCTCATATGTAGCACAAACAAACCAGAGACATTGCTTGCAAGAAACATTCATTTTGGTAGCACTGCAATTAAATAATGGTTCTGAGGAATTCCACATACTTGGGGGGAGTGGGGGTGTGTGTGGATTTTACAACGTATGTAAAATCATGCTTGGAAAAACTACTTAAAGGCAAGTATAGAAACATGTTTCTCTCGCTTTTAACCCACCCCCCTCACAAATATATACAAACACATACAGGCAAAGCAGGGACCAGGCACATAATTCTGAAGTCTTCACGGCCAATCCAAGTTCCCATCTTTTGATCCTGTCACAAACATCCTCTTTGTTACACCTCCTCCAGTGTCCGTTCTCCAAATGTAAGTTTAAAGCATTTAAGGAAGGTCAAAGTATCTTCTACTAAACTGATATAAAAAAATGGATGGGAAGGGCAGGGAAAGTGTAACAAATCTCCTCAGGATTCATGGTTGCCATAGGAGAGAAAGGCAGTGGGACAAAAAGCAAAGACTTGAAATGTTAGTCATATTTTAGCTAGATTTAGATAGCATCACTGCAGCCTGAGATTTCTGCAGCCTACCATAACAAAGTCGGTCTCTCATAAAAGATTACAGAGTCCACACAAGATCCTGGGGAAAATTCGCTAAGATTCATCAGTAAAGAAACTCACCACTACATCTGCATTACTTAGCACACTGGAGGTGGGGGGAGATTCAGACTGAACCATTCTCTTGGACAAACACCTCTTCATCCTACAGAGCCTTTTCCATGCTTTATTAATTACAGAAGCCACACTGAACTCACACTCTGTTCTATCGCTATCAGGGGTCATCGATTTTCAACCCATTTCTGCCCCTCTACAGTGAGGTTAGCAAGCAGCAATATTACACCTAAGGAAGAACACATAATTTTTCCTAAAGCTAATGCAACAAGCGAACAGACTAAAGACTCCCCAGACCTTCAGGGAATAGAATGGCCTCAACACAGGAAAAGAGAGAGGCTGTATGGGTTCAGTCCAAGGGTCCACCCATCCCAGTATTCTGTGTCAGAGAATAATCAAAACTTACACCTACAGAACAGCATAAAGCAAATCCATACTGAAACTTTTCAAGACAATTCTTTCATTCTACAGCAATTTACAGTTCAGTGATTTGTGGTTCAGAAGGCAATTCTATTTTCTAGTAAACTGCAGTGGAATTCCCTTCCACAGACTTACCCAGTCTTCCCAACAGCATATGTAAGCTTTTAACATCCACAACCACTTCCACAACTTCCCACGCGCTGTTTGAAGATCCATCTGCTTTTGTTTGTTCTGCACCCATCACCTGCAGATTTCTTCTATCAAAAAAATTGTGTGGGTGCAAGTCCTGTTCACCTTATCCATAATTTATTTTATAGATCCCTGTCACATACCCCTAAATTAACACCTTCTGCAATAAAATTTTAAAAACCAAAATCCTCAAACAAACTAAAATCCAAAACCACCAAAGAAAAACTGTGGGAGAATTTCTTCTCTGTTGCTTTAAAGGCTTTACCCAGAGACTTTTTCAAGATTTTCTGCACACCGGTAAGAGTTAACAAATGTTAACTTGTTATAAAGAGTAACAGCAGTAAAATCATAGCTCTAACACTTGGAGCCTCATAGAAAAAAAAACAAAAACAAAAAAACCCTAGTAATTCTAAAATCTTAAGATAATGGATCTTCTCTGATGCCCTGCATAGATGTTACATGACAACCTGGAACAAACTCATTCTGCTGGCTCACATTGGTTTAAAAACAATGAAATGGAAATTGTCCTAGCTGACTTTGTGCCAGATCAGATATCTTCTGTCCTGCCATAGACATTGTAATGTTGGGATAAACATCATATCATGTGTTCTAGTCAGTTTGACAGAATTGCAGCAAGGAGCTCATGCCCCATCTAGATGAAATTTTCTATCACAAACTGATCCAGCACTGAACAGAATCATTATTAATGAATAGAGAACCATGGTCTGAGTAAGACTGAAATGCATGAAAAAAAATCTCAGTGTTTTGGCAAGCATGAAAGTGGAGAATGCCCAACTTTCCTTTTGCAAAACACATTGAAATCCAAGACAGTATCAGGGCTGAAGTGTTCAATCTGTTATAAATAAATTTCTAGGCACGGCTAAGGCTCTTTTTGCCCTCTTTTCTCAAAGCTGGTACAATGTTAGCTGAATTACAGACTATAAATCTTGTTTTCAGGACACAGAAAACTGTGCTCCCTGGGGCTCTCCCATGGAGTGCTTCAAAGCAACTCACCTTGCAGGACTGGAGTTGACTCCGAAGGAGAATAAAACAGTTACGTGACCTCCCAGCACAACGCTGTGACTTCACACTGACTTATTGGGAGTTAGAAATATATAAAAAAAATATTTCATAGGGCTAGAAAAGATACTGTGCCTAATGTAAGTGCTGAAAATTATTTGCAACGGTAAGGAATGACTAAGCAAAGCTGTAATTCATCAAAAGAAAGGTAAATCTACAAAGGTTAGCAAAGGCAGATGGTGCTACCATGCACCAGGTAGTAGCCAAGTCTCCTACTTCCAGATAAACTTCTGCCTTTTGATAGTAAACTGAACAAATACTAAACAAAACTATTTTCTCAAAGACTGACAGAGATAATAAACGTCAAATTTGTTCCATAAATGTTATACAACAAAATAAACACAAGATTTTCAATGTGGGATAGAAGAAAAACAGCTTGCCCTTTTTTTTTTTTTCCCTTCAATTAAAAGTTTCAGCAGAACATACCAAAAAGAAAGGAAAAATCTATCCCCTTACTGGAGGCCTAATAAAACAAGGGAGATGTGAAGTATAGAGGATTTATGAGAGTACAAATAATTATAAATTATATGTGAAATGGGATTTCTTTAAAATATGTTGTACTAGCATCTAAGCTGAGCAAGACAAAGAATGAAAGACCAATTTTTTTAACCTACACACATTACTCCCACTAAAAAGCTATTTTCCCTGATGACTTAAGAATTGCCTTATTTAACAAATTCTTATTATCCATTCTTAAAAAGAGGGATCTACTACATGGATATCATTTCCATTTTACACACAGAAGATGAATTGTTCCTTAAAGCACAAATTACCCCACTGCCCTTTTGGGCTCTACCAGAATTTGAACACCTAGAAAAGTAGAGTAACTCCATGGAATTAAAAATGCAGATGCAATTACAAACCTCTATTTTGTCTGTTTTGGCATCTCCCCAGTATATTTTGCTTTCGGCATAATCCAGTGCCAGGCCATTTGGCCAGCCAAGAGAAGTATTCACCAGCACAATTCTGTCTGAGCCATCTAGCGCTGCCCTCTCGATCTTTGGGATTTCTCCCCAGTCAGTCCAGTACATGTACCTGCAAAGGAAACAAAATCTTAAGATTTAAAATTTTAATCCAAACTTCCAATATTCACACAGCTTCTTCTGGACTCCTCTTCCCCGAAACCACATTGCACACAGAACGGTACCTTTATAAGTCAAATATATTTCCTCACCTAAGTAAGGATGCCCAAACCATTCAGAAAGCATCAATGTGTAAAATAAACCTGGATAAACCTGGTCCCTTTGCACGAAACTCCTGTATCAGTTTGCTCAGCAAAACAACATAAGCAGTGCTATTAGCTAGAATAAATGAACAGATCCACACAGTCCCGCAAAATATTTTTTAAAAGGAGAATAAAACAAAGACATGGCTTTGTTTTATTCTCCCAGATGGCTACCCAGGTGGTCAAAACAGAGTAGTCCCTGTGCCTCAGAGCCTTATCTTTCAAAGAATTCCAGTATCGAAGGCTCAGAAGTTTATCATTGCACCCCATTATCTGCATACAGGTAGACATAGGTATCTTTTTTAGATGACTAATATTTAAAAAAAATGCTCACAAACAGCTCCTCACCCAACCATGGGATCCAGCACAATAGCTCTGGGTTCTTCCAGGTCTTCCGATATTAAGATTTTTCTCATGGTCCCATTAAGCCTTGTCACTTCAATCCGGTCTGTGCCAGTGTCAGTCCAATAGAGATTTCGGGCAACCCAGTCCACAGCAATGCCATCAGGATGTGCAATCTGTGCCGTGACAACAAACTGACTACCTGACCCATCAATGAACGACCGGCGGATGGCCCTAACTTCATCATCAGTCCAATAGATGTATCCTTCCAGGGGATCAAAGTCAATGGCGATGGCATGACGGATGTCCTCCAGTGGCAAAACTATGTCAGTAAAATCTGGGGTGTCTAAGGAAATTCGCCTCAAATCTGTCCGGCGGGCTAGAAGCAGGAGTTCAGTGGCACCTGCATGAATAAGGCAAAAAACACAACCATCTTACAAACAATGTGCAGTGAGCCTGTAAAGAATGAACCTGATTCTGTACCATGTGGTACAAGCCAGTCCAGCTGCCTTGATTTCACAGGACTTAACCAAACCGATGGGCACCAGCAGAGAATTCCACACCAGCACTTCAAAGGTGAGGTTATTCTTCTGCAGAACAAGTCAGATGTGTTTACAGAGAAAATTCAGTGGTCATGTTGGACACATTTTCTATCGATATCGTTCCCTCCAAAGGTAGTAAAATAGATATGCAGTGACTGTGCTGCTATTTTATGCAAATCAACAGATGGCCTGCAGCCTCTTAGATGAAAAATTAATTCTATAAATAATTTACCGACTGTTTGCTATTGTTGGTACAGGGGACAATCATGACAAACAAGCTGCGTGTTTCAACACTATCCTTAGAAGGAAGGGAAAAAAAAAAAAAAGTAACACAGAACGTCACAAGTAAGTCTCCTCTGAGAAACTCCTATCAGAGAAATCAGTTTGGGGAACTGATAACTGCCCAGTGACCACATGAAGCAGGAGAGCTCTCAGCTTCTCCCACATCTGTTGAGAACAAGCTTATTGAAGACATGAAGATAAACAACAGTGAATCTTATAACGCGATTTTGAGCTGAAGCATGCAAAAGCCATGCTGGCTTGTAGGTCAAAAGTCAGAATCACAATAAATAACTAAGATCACCTTGCAGTGCAGATGATTTTCACGTGAGGCAACACAAGCTGTTTAATGGTGCATGTGCTGGGGATCTGCTCAATGACAGATGTCTATTTAATTCATTCTCATTTCTACTCTGTGTCACTAAATTTCAATGTAATGGAGGATAAACAGCTACCACACCCCATTCCAATTAAACTGGCTTATCAGTTTGGAGTCTCAAGGAGATAAGAGCAGCTTGGGCCTCAGGGAAGCCTGAGCTAAGGTGAAAAATGTGTCCATCCTAAATGCAGGGAAAGTGTGTTGCAAAGACTCTCCTCAAACAGTGCGGGGAAAGGGTTTGGCAGGGACTGATGTAGGTGTGAGGACAGAAGGAGGGGGTGAGGGGAGGTTTAGGAAAATAAATACATCAACATCTTGGAGAAAAAGAGCCATCACCAAGGCACATTCTGTCCACGTCTTGATCTTGATTTTGCAGAGGTAAAAATAAGGGCTAGAAGACTGAAAGAGCAACAACTAAAGCAAGTAGGTTGCTGATAAAAAAAGAATTTTGGTGTCTGATGCCAAATTTCTTTTTAAAAAAGTCAGTAATTGTTGGTGCTAGATGAAATCTCACTGCATGCCAAACTTTGGAAAGATGCCAAAGCAGCCACTGCTCCATTTACAGCAAGTTTAGCACATTAAAAAAAAAGATATCTAAGGCACTTCCACACTGCTGCAAGAAACAGCACTTTTCAACAACAGAAGTTGAGAATATTATTACAAGTGTTCCTGGTTGGTAGTCCAGAACAGATTCAGATTAGCTTTGGGATCCCGTGTCCTAAAACACCTTGTGTTCAGAAACACATGTACATGCTACTCAATTGTTCTTCTAGTGAATAACTCTTATGCATTAATTAACATCAGGAAGGGGGAACCTGTAATTACATGTCTATGTATCCTTCAAAATAACCTAAAGCATGTGACATAGCAAATGGAAAACAGGCCTGTTTGTAAGATATTTTTTTTTTTATAATTACAGAAGCAACAGATCTTGTCACGACAGTCTATACGTACATCTGTATTTGTTGCTACTGAGTATATCAATTCAGCATCAAGATCCAAGCATTCAGCTGCATTATGGTCGCACAAAGTATTAATGCATAACTAATCCCTAATCATGGCTCAAGAAAGAAAGGAATCCCTAGTACTTTCTTTTTTACTAACTTCACAGTCATTTATACAACTTACCTTCTAACCAAGACTATGAAAATCATATTAAAAAACCCAAACCGTAATACTTTTTTCACACTATGTAGTAAAACTAAGGTTGAGAAAATGCGCTAACCTGAGATTTTTAAATAGTTAGAAAGCTATATATATATATATTCTACCATACAAAGAAAAAGTGTAAGGCATAATTTAAAAATAATTTGTGCTCTAGCTGTAGCTGACAGTCATTTTGAAGACCTGATGTCAGGTCCCCAGAAAGACTTGGTTGAGTACAATCATGCCTTTGCTGATACTCACCCTTAAAATTGACCAATTGACCTTCCAATTCTTCTCAAAGATGACCCATTTCAACAGCTTCAGTATCCTGCTTTCGGGTTGCAACACTGCCGCTTAGTCAAATAACCCAGTGTCTGAACTACAATTCAGCATTGGGAAATGACTGGCTTTCACCTAACCCGTGCTGCACTCTGGATCCCTGAGCTAATAATTTCATGGTCTTTATCTGGGGACTTGGCTAACATTCCAGCCCCCAATCAAACACCACCCCCACCCCTCCAATTGAGCAATAAAAAGCTTAAAGCTTACTTTAGAGCGATTACCCACCCATTTGCAAACCGACACCTCAGCTGCTTAGTTAGATCACCAGTCATTCTGTCCAGGAAAAAATAATAAAAATATTTGAGCAGCAGAGAAGCATCTCACCTCAAAGTAGGTTGAGGGAAAGATTATTCTGAATGCTTCACGCCTGCCCTGACAATAGTGAAAATAGCAAATGCAAGAGCTGGGCATATTTATGGACTGATCCTGTTACCACCTTGATAGAACTCAAAGATAAAAGATGGTCTCAAAACTAAAACAATTTGCTCAGTTGTACAAAGTTTATCTGGCTACGCACTGACCCACCACTCAAGAGGACTGCTCAAGGTACACAAGGTTGCCAAGACAGAACAATCAATCGATTTTGTTCACTTCTACTCTAAGCTGAACTGTGACACCAGGATCTCCAGACTTCTTCACTCCGCCTCTCCAAGAAATTCCCTGCCTCTAATGATGAGCAAGATGGAGAGCACCATGGGGATGGAATCATATATCAAAGGAAAAAAAAAAAAGGAACGAAAAGACAGGAAAAGATAATGCAGGTTGCATGCCAGCATCATTTTTTTTTTTTCTTTTCAATCTATCAGCACTTACTGGGAGAGACTGGAATAAGCCATGAACATATAAACCACCTCAAAACTCAACTGGCTCAACCCTTCCAAAAGGTGCATGGAGACTGCAACCAGAGCACTGACCTGAAGCAGTTCTTCCTCTAGACACCTTGGACTGCACACACAAGGATGAAGTGGCCTAGACAAACACACAGAGACTTGGAGGAGAGTTTATTGCCCACGCTGCTGTCCTCTGTCTAACTACTGGCGATCTCCGCTGCACCCAACGCAAGCATGCCTGAAGACCCAAGCGCATCTCAAATCTGTATGGCTTTGAATTTGAACCCATCGACTGCTGGGTTTGAGGGCACAGACCCCCACCAGGTATGCAGGGTGTGTGCTCACAGCCTGCAAAACACTCGCAAGGCAGAGTAAGCAGATGGCTTTCCCGTATACAAAGTCAGGTCATTCTGCCTACCCTTGGGGCTGGTCTCCAACACAGTCCTAAGTGCTCTCAGCAAACTGTAATTGATTTTTTAAAAAAATCCCTCCCAAACTATTCAAACTGGGGACCAAGCTCAAGATTCTGTGTTGCAGTGACTCAAGTTAAGGGGTATTGAGGATAGTTAGCAATTTTTCTAAAATCAAGTCCCTTGCTTAAGATGTCTAAATATGGACATAAAAGCTGTACTCCAGACTCTTTTTTGAGAGCTTTAGCCTACTTTTATTAAGCACTTTGAAAGCTGGGATTACAAGCTCATGGATGGTGCATTACATTAGTCCTGGAACTAATACTTTCCTCAGAAAGTCGCTATTAAAAAAATCAAAATAATTTAAATCTGTGTGCTAGCTCAAGTCAAGGGAAGGGGGAGAAAAGGGGAAACAGCGAGCATGCAGATACATGCAATGGCATAGCTTTAAAGCCCAACGTCTAATGCCCTGCTAACCTTTACAATTCATTACATCTTCTCTATGATGTACAGGCCTCAGACATTTGTAAGTTATTGAACTTTCAAACCATCAGCGGTTGCTGAGGCCAGTACAGCTACACAGACATAGACTCAGGAATACACACACAAGAAGTGCTAGACCTAGGACATGTATAATGCATTCTCTGTATCTGAGAAATCAAAATTATTAATACATCCTCAATAGAAATCTCACATACTTGACTAAAATATTTCTTACCTACAATGTCTTTCCCCAGATATAAATTCAGTAATGTTAGAGAGCCCTTGACTCTACAATACAAACAAGATTTTTTTTCATCTAGAAAACCTCAACCTTAAAACTACAAAGGCAGAAGGCCATGCATCTGATTTTTTTTCCCCTTTAAAAGAAATGAAAGAATTAGGGTGTTAAATTAAACATCTTGATCTGTGCAGTCAAATCAGAATTCTGGCTACTCTCAACAAACCAAATGACCCACTAGCCAGCACTAAATTGCAAAAGAAAGTGCAAATTTCTGATTACTGCCTCCAGGCCTTAAGGGAAGTAGAATGTGAGCGTCCATAGGCAAAATAAAGACGAAGAGAATGGAACGGCCAAAGAAAGACTGAAATGAAACTCTGAAGCAGTGCTTTTTCTTCATGAGGAAACTTGCATCTCTTTGATTAGCTGAAATCACCACTGGTTTTCTCAGCACAAACCACACGTCCATATTGGTAGTAGCAAATGCAGGGAATTAATATAATTCACTGCAGGGAAAGACAGAAGCTGAGCTCATGGACAGGGAGATCTTCCAGCACTAATAAGAATGTAACCCCAATGACAAATCTGTAGGATGAACCTATATTTTATTACAAAACCAACTATCGAACAGGTCATTTAAATGTAGCACTGCCAAACTCAAAACTGCAGGCTTATGATACTGCAAAAGAGAAATCCCAGTATGTCCAGCAGAAGAGGCCAATAAATTACCAATAATATGACAACAGTAGGTAAAAGCTCTCTGGTAGAAGTGCCTGGATGCTCGGACAGGACTCTCTGCTTCGGACATTACTGACTGAGGAACAGCTGGCCATGAAAACTGATTATTCTGCCTCTCTTTTTCTTTGAGGCACAGGGGTTTACAAACTTTCACCTAGGCAGTGGGGGAGCCATGAGCTTGCCACAAGCCCCCATCTCAGTTTTTTAACTGTTTTGTCTTGTAACAGCAATAGAAATTAAGACATGAACAACCAGCCAGTATCATCAGTTACTAGAAAAACAGCTAATTTTATTCCAAGTTATCACTCTTTACTGAAAGACTATGGAAAAGTGTTTCTAAATGGAGGGCAGGGTGGTATTATATTCATAGCTCTCACAGGAAATGGCAAAAGCCCTCTAAGGTGTGATGAAAAAAAACCTACAAAAAAATGGAGAAACTAACGCAGGCAGAAAGGAGAGGGAAGAAAAGATTTCCTATAAACCAAGATTATTCAAAAATGCTAGGTTGTCATGGAAACTGCTCAGGGAGGGTCAGCCAGCCTCACCTTTGGCTGCAAGGATCATCTGTCAATGCCAAAGCACTGCAAACACCACAAACACACACTCAAAATTCACCCGTCAAAATCTTTCCAGTCCAGGCCGGTGCTCTCAACAGCACAGCGTGAAATGAAGTTCTCTCCTTAAAGAGGCTCCTTTCAGCATGAAACAATTCGGTTTAGGAACCAGCCTGATTTTAGTCTACCGCTAGAAGACAAAACCATCTTAAAAAAGATAAATTCTTCACCTCATTTTTCACCTTTCTTCACCTGTAAGTCACCCCTCCCTCCTTTCTTCCCCCACAGTCAAGTACATGTTCTAATTGCAAATGGAGATTTAATCACTCAGTGTTTCAGCGTAGTAGATATATACTGACATGATCGAAGGTATAAGTGTTCAGTTGTCAGGGTTCAGCTCTACTTTCACAGCAGATATAGTGAACAGGCAAGTACAAAGGGAAAAAAAACCAGCTCAAGAAACCAGAACCAACCCCCACCCCACACACCTGAAAAAGAGAAAATACTTCTCCACAGTCACTGAGCAGCCTAAGAAAGGAAGTCAATACACAAACATGTACAGTTACATCTCAAAATCCGGTCTGTGGCTACTCTGGCTCTGTTTGACTCTCCTCCTTCTCTGAATCAGTAATTGCAGCCTTTGCAACTACAAGAAGAAAGTCCAGTGTACCTCCGCCTTGAAGAGCTCTGGCAAGTTGTAGGTTCACTAGCAGAAGCCCTAAGCCTATCCCCCGCACCTCTGTTCAGTGAGGGAGTCAAAAATATTTCATTATTTTGGGGTAGGCTCAGCTCTAAATGCTGAACCTGAAGCTCCTTCACGCTCCTCCCAGAAGTCAGCTCTTTACAGCATCACAGACGGTAAGCGAAACCAACGGATCTGATGCATAGTTTGTGTAGGTTGTTTCACTCGGGTTATGTGCTAACTCGTTTCTAAGTCCAAGAAGCCATGGTATGTAACGCTCACTGAGCTAAAATAAACAGAGACTCAATTTTCTATCCCCCTCCCCACCCATTTTTCTCCTTGAAAAGGGAGGGGCAGAGTGTTTTGGAAAGACGTAATAGCAGAATGGTGGTTAAAAATGAAACATTATCTTGACAAGCCTAAGATAAATGAACGTTCTTGTATAAAGTTTTTTGCATACAGATGGACAACTTGCTGTAGTAAATTGGTTAACAATTTCTGATAAAATGGGAGCTATGTTTTGTGAGCCAAATACACTTTATGGCTGACTGGGAACATACAATTTGGCTTCTCATGTGCTCAGGGAGTGGGAGAAAAGAGCAACAGTTATAAATTCTGAGACATAGGGAATGACTGAAAAAGTGAACTGGTAAGTCTGAGTATCTCTGCATGAGAAAAAGGCCTGTTAATAAGGCTTTGTTGGGCTTTTAAAAAAATACCATTCCTTGACTTGCCTTTGGTAATTTGATACACTAGAAAGGTGCCATTCAGCACGGGGCTGTTAACATCTGGGGTAGGTTGGGTAGGTTGCCTCCACGAGGACATCGGGCTGAACCTGAGCAGGGAAGCAGGAATTTCTGTGATACAATGACCCATTCCTTGGAACACAACACACGGGGAGCAAAAAGATACAGCTCCTCTTGCCTGAAGTCCCCTGCTCTTTTCTTATCAGCAGTAAGTCAAAGAGAAGCAATTTATCTCTCTGGATCTCTCCAGGGCTTGTTCCAAGGGTTGTCCTTGGTCCTTCAGCCTCTGCTTCCTTACCTTTCTACCTCGGCTTGGCAAGTGACCAAACCTTTACCACTCCTTGTCCCCCACATGGGGTTTCTGTGCGGCTTTGCTTTTGGAAACATGCCTGTATTGGGTCACAACCGCTTTAGCTATCTGCTGACACAAAGGAGTTTATCTGTGTGTATCAAGTATTTTTTAAAAAAAGCATGTGAAATTTAGTCAGAATGTGACACAAAATGACCAACCCAGAGCAGTATTATTGAAGCTTGTTCCTTGTACTGGCAGAAATGGAAGAAAAACATCTTGCACACGCATCAGTAAATACTTACAAACAATTCTGCAAGGCTAAACTGGGAGCTGCTTTTGAGTTTTTCACATAAAAGCAGCAATTTATTTTAACAAGGTTCACACAGACACAAATAGCCACACAAAAATAATCAGCAGAGAGCATGAAATAGCATGAAATTAAAGAAAATACTGAACAGCAGTTGACAAGCCTAGAAGAACTTTTAAAAAATAAAATAATTTAAGAAAAATTATTTCTGTATACATTTTATTTAGCCTATTTACAGTAAGTTCTGCTGCACCCTTCTGTTTCTTCCTCCATTTACTTTTGTCATAGAGAGATGATCTGCATAAAAGATGGTTATTTATGAGCAAGCTAATTATCTGCCAGTGTTTATTCTGATCCTGTAATGCATTACAGCAACCACAACACGTCACAGGACCTATACTTACAAAATATAACAGTTTAAAACCATATACACTGGCCCACAAGACACTAAAAGCCATTTTGGGTGAGCACTTGCAGCCCTAAATCTCTATCACGTCTTGAGCTTGAAGGCTGAAACACTTTCAACACCTCTAAAAACATGTCACTCTTTTCAGCTCCTTTATAAAAATGTAGGGGCCTCACTTTATGCCTGTGAAGCAAAAGAGTTTTCAGGTGTATGTATCTTAAAAATTGTTCTTAAAGGAAAAGAAAATAAAGGGAAAAAAAGAACTGTGTTTATTGCACAATCCTACTAGCCAAATACTAATTCATGAACAATAATGTTAGAAACACTTTGGAAACAGAGGATGTAGGTATCAATTTCTTTAAGAAAAGGGAGCAGAACCCCAAAAAAACTTGCAGGGAATTAGTGACAGAGACAGAATTGCAACCTTTATTTTCTAACCGGAGGTAACCTGCTCTTCAGTCATGAGACTCTCTTCTTTTTTGAAAAGTAGAGGGTATTTTCCAATCACTTTTATCTGCAGTGCAAAAGCATGCATGATTTCACAATTTGCCACCCCTAACGTGCATTATGTAGTGAAGCTGGAAGAACCCATTTCCCTCCAAAAACTACTTTGTGCTTAATCTAAAAGGATTTTTTAAAAACAAAGCCTACCATCTTTGCAGGTCTTTCCATTCTCAAGAAGTTTCACACCAGTGGGACATGCACACTGATAAGAGGGCTTGGTAGGAGACATCAAACACAAGTGGGAGCAGCCACCGTTATTAATTCCACATGGGTTTGTAGCTGTTAACATAAATCACACAGATTAATGCTTCTGATAATGGATGACCTCATCTCATGTGTTAAGACATATACAGCATTTGAGTGGTAGAATCGGTGGCAGCAACACAGATTAAAGAAGGAAATGATAAACACAGAACAAGGAAAAATTAATTCCAAGTGTTGAGTAGCAGGGTATTTATGGTACCAAAATGCACGGATGTTGAACATTTCCTTTCTTGGGAAAGTAGCACTCGGGTCTAAACAAGAGCCTTGTTTCAGCTCTGCTCTTCTCATTTTCACAAACTATTCAGCATGTCGGTGCTGAATGTATAGCAGGTTGCATATATAAACCAAAATGCAAACAGCAAATTAACACAATGGTTAAGACACTGGTTATTACACTGAGCTAGTCTTGGCTCAATATAATCAGCCAAATTAACACTACTTTCCATTCAGGAACTACTACTTGGAAAAAATAAAAATACCATTTTGCCTAAAGTTATGGCACATGAAACAGAAAAAGGAATACGACAACAGGATAAATGTGGCAGGCAGAAAAGAAGCAATAGATATCTTTTTGCAGTTGAAAAAACAATGTTGAGAATATTTGGTTTCTCTTTGGGTCTTTTCCCAATCTCTGCATTGGAAAAATTGCATCATGACGCGAGCGAAGCCACCCACCGCCATACAGAAAGATTAATTAAGATTTTTTTTTTAAAATCAGTTCCAACTTGCAGTTAAAAAAAGAAAGCAAGACAGCTTACCATTTGGCTGCCTCTTTTGGCTGAAAGCATGGATATCCATGGGAGAGAAGATGTTGGAATGTATTTCACGCAGGTCCTCCCCAGAGTACTTGCTGCAGGCCAAGATCGAATGCGTGTTCCAGTCAGTCCAGTACAACGTGTCCCCAAACAGCGTCAAAGCAAAAGGATGTGGAAGGGAGCCTTTAACCACTGCTTGCCTAACAGAGCACAGGGAAGAAAATTAATGCTGAAACACAATTCATGCTACGGTTTTGCTTGAGCATAGCTTTGGTGAACAGTGTTGATCAAAACTTTCTATTTATGGGGAAAAAAATACAGCGCACCTGCTTTTGGGGAATGATATGGGGGAACAACTATTTTCAGGCTGCCTAATAATGCTGAAATGGCCAAGAGATGCCAATGTAAATCCTTACTTAGGTCTGTGGCTATCTCTTAGCACCCTTTTAACACTCGATCCCCTTGAGGCCTTACGTCACCATGCGCATGTGGAGGGAACCCCACGCCAGCTGGTTTTATGCAAGTCTAACTGCTACCTGCTGATTTATGATGTCCATCATTTTCAGTCTCAGCAGATTTTAAACTGGGACAGCATTTGGTCAATTAACAGTCCATCCATCTCTTCAGTTTCCATCTTTGAACCATCAGAAAAATACTCTAATGGCAAATAGTTTCACTACACAGAAATCTTTAAAGTTATCTTTTTGGATTCATTATTATGATAATTATTAAGCTATTGTTTTTTATTATGAGCAGTGCCATTAAACAGAGTTCTACTGATCTTCTGCCATGGTAATGGTAACATTTCTGAGCAAACTGGGTCACCGCCTGTCTCCAGGTTCATAAACAAAATTAAAGAGTATACCCATATATTTTATGTATATATACAAACACATGCTCATTAGCCATCACAAAAATGCAGCACAAACATTACTGAAGACAGTTTTTCCAGGTTCTTGTGATGTAGCAGCTAATTATCTGTACCCAGGTTCTTCAGAACTAGAATTAAGTAGCTCAATTCTTATGGTTATTTTATTCAGAAACACAGAAAAGCTTTGGATGGAGAGGATCCTGGAGGTCACCTGGACCAACACCCTGCTCAAACCAGGGCTGCACAAGTACCATTGACACAAGTGCTTCTTCCCACCTCCCTTCTTCTGGATGTGGGTGCGCTTGTGTTCCCATGTACACAAGCTCCCTCCAAAGCGGGGAGATGGCCGTCCCTCTCTGGGCCTGAAAGCCTAAGGGACTGCTACACAGCTCTACTGCTCCTTCGGGTATAGGGCACACTATGAACACCAGCCTCCCAATTTTCTTTTTGCAGGGAAGAGAGTCATTATCTGTATATTTACTGAGAAAACACCACCACACTGTAAGCATCACTTTGCAAAGAAGTCGGTAACTGAAGTGGCTTAGCAGAGAACAAAAATACTCTTATTTTCCAAATATTTTCTGTTAAAATAGAACAGAAAAGCATATTAAAGCAAGAAACTCGAAGGTGTCTTCTGCCAATGATTCTGAGTACAAAGAGACTGCAGTCATTATCGCTCTTTCACCTTAGCTTCGGGAAGAAGATGTATTATCTTTAAAGCTTCTATTTTTTTCTGCTCCCAAGAACAACACATACATTCCCTTACTTGTCATTCCAGTGTTCCAATTCTACACCAAACAAAATTTTCTATTTCTTGATATTTTGCACTCAAAAGTAGGACATATTATCTTTTCTTTCTTATCTCTGTCTGGAGTCAGGTATATATTTGCTTCTAATTAAATGCACCAACTAAGCATCTTACAAAAGACTATTGTAATATAATTTACAGCTGAAACCTATCAGCCAAACAGTGAAGCCAGAATGACACAACACACTCCCATACCAAGAATAAAGGCATTCTAACTCTGTAAACATTTTTACCAACACCACCCCAAATGCTAAATGCCTTCAGATTTGAATAATTTTAGTTTATAGTAGGCTTGGGGACTAAGTCTTTATGACAAATTTATGACATTTGTCATATGAGACAGAAGCAATAGAAGTCTAAAGTTCTCCCTATAACCAAACCTGCACCAAAGACAGCATTCCCATGCACAAGGGAAGCCACATTTTTCCGAAGCATTCTGATTATCGTGCAATTCACTTAAAAAAAAAAAAACAAAAACAAACGACAACCAAACAACCCAGAAAATTTTTCAATGCCATTAGTGCACACAAAATAGGTGGGAATAAATCTTTGACAATATGTCAGACGTGCCCAACTTTCGGCCAACCATCTATTCAAATGACAATGCATAAGGTGAACTGTGACCCTTATTTAAACCAGCCCTTATCTGGAGAGATCCAGGAACGCTTCATTTGGCTGCACCATCAGCCACAACCTTGAAGCAATTACTCTTAAGCTTGTAGGACTTTTCTCAGCAGGTATAAGGAACCATCACATGAAAATGGCTTTGGGCCCAAATACATCAGCATGTATTTCTTGCATCTCAGTCAGGTAACTATTCCCAGTAACAGGTACTCCATATCCCCCGTTCCCAGCAAGCCATTACAAGGTGATAGCTCACTGCCAATCAGCAAAACCAGAAGCTTTTTTTCCCTCTTCAAACATATTCCCCGGGCCGCAGCGCCGGCCTCGCTGAATGGCAGCCTCAGGATGTGTATCAGCACAACAGCAGTGGGTGAGTTGTGCTAAACAAGCTTCCACAGCCTAATGGGGGAGCAGGGGGGGAAAGGCTGGAGAGCCAAGATGCTAAAAAAACAGAAAAGGAAGGGGAGAGGGAGCAAGAACTGTCCTGGGAGCTGCCGTGAAGCAGATAACTGCTTTAGCACGATCTGTGTTAGGAACATCAGAGCTCTAGTTTTGGTGGGTGAGAAGAGGGGTCCCAACTTCTGCCTTGACTGATTATTAAGTACCACCCAGGGGTGAATGAAGGGGACCAGAAGGTCACCCGTAGCACTCAACTGCTGTGCACAGTTGACAGGAGCAGGCGCTTCCCACCAGCGCCCGTGTGGGGTTGGGGAACAGCCACGTCTCCACATTTCTGGCCTTGCTAATAAAGCCACCGACCTGGGTACCAGGTACGGTGCCGCAGGTGTAATTGGACTGACACGGCCTGACAGGTCTTTGGTGGCAACTACCTTCAGCCTCTACATTTATCAGCCTGGGCTTGATTGGAACAAGCGATACGACAGCAAAAAGCACTACATCCTATTATCCTTCACTAAGCTCTTCTGTTCTTTCAAACTGCTGTACTCCTATCATTAGTCTCGTTAAAAAGAGACACCAGAGATGATGAGCAAGAGAGAGATGAGGATAAGGAGTAATGTTATTCATCCAGGAGACATCTCTAGGGCTTCAGCAACATGCAAATTGGCTACATATTAGATGGCACTAAGCACACACTAAGTTTAATAATCTTCCCCACGCCAGGCCTATAATCACACAAATTTGCCTTAAAAATCTTGAAAGCAATTGACATTTAAAATGTCACCATCTCTACTTTGTTTAGTTAGCTGGGAAAGAAATGCAGAAAGGGACAGCAGAGAAGGAAGGTGGGGAGAGAAAGAGAGAAAGAAAACAAGCAATTTCCACAGAAATTAAATTTCATCTGTGCTGCATATCACAATTTCCTAAATACAACTATTTATAGTATCATCATGGTAATCAGAGATGCAATTACAATAAAAACTTATTATAGTAAAGAGTTTTCTACTGCCTGAAGAAAACGTAGATCCAATTTAAATACATCCACCTTTGTTCCATCTTATTCTGTTAAAGAGGCCTGTGAAATACTTTGTGAAGATAAAGAAAAAGGAAACAAGTAACAAACAAGTTAAAGCAGGCATTACAAAAGGGGCTACTGAACTCTGGAACAGAGTACATACATTAAAATTCTGAGACAATCTATCCCATTTTAGACTAACAACAAAAAAAGCTCCTGCTTCAGGATAATATACACTTCAGACAAAGACTAAACTCGCCTGAAATAAAAATTGAGAGTAAAATGACAAAAAAAATCAACTGTATCACGACCACGATTTCCTCAATCTGCCTTTATTTTTTTCAACTAATACTAGCATTCAAATCCAAAACTAGATTATAGCTATGAAATTTAAGAACTCTTCCCAGCAAAAGAAAGCCACCAAAAATCAAGAGAAATTTAAAATATTGTCATAATTTTGATTTTTTTTTTTTCCCTAGAATGTCAACAGATGCTTTATATGCAAGCATAATAGCATTCTCCACAAAAATAAACACACTTTCCATTAACCAAATTCCTTCTATTCTGGCTGCATTACAGTTCTCTAATTTCAAAAACTGATCAGAACACCTGCAGGAAACCTGGGGTACTTTAGACATCCTGGCCTGTATATCTCTAAACCATTAACATTCCAGCTTCACCATAGTGAAACTCCTTTCAGGTGACCCCTGAAGCTGCCTGCGTTCAATCTCCAGGGCACGGTGCAAGAATTTTCACATTTAGGTTGCAATGCATTTCTCCATGTCCCTCTGGAGGATCCCATATGTATCACCAACTCCTATGCAAGCAGACAGTGAAAAAAAAAATTATCTACTGCTGTGCCAGTTTTTGCAATCCCATTTCAAATACAACTGTGAAGACAGGGAAAAAGTTAAATCATCTGAATACTATAGTCTTGATGCTAAAGAGTGAATATAAGAGAACTCCACTGAAGCTCTCTCTTATGCCTCTAAACTCCACTCACCCAGAATAAGAAGGGTAAGTAAAGACTTATGATAAAAACGAAGGATTAAATCAACCAGCTAGTGAGACAGCGTGCACATGGGTAATTCAGTTGTCCAGCCTGGACAAGTGACCGTGCATTGCAGCTACGGGCAGGCTCATGGCAGTGACCTTTTCCGCCAGCGGGACAAGTTCTGTAGCGGGATGTCCATCCACAGCCTGAGCCAGGGAGGATCAACCACCGTGCCAAACAGGTTGTTCAGAAAGCACAGAAACGCCTTATGTTTGCTTGATCACTGCCACTGATCTGAGATACTTTAACTTCAGAAAGCTAATCCAAATCGCCAACAGTAAGGTACAGTGACAGAGTTACACAGAAAATGTAAATGAACTTACACGGGTATACGTACATTTACCACTGCATTTATTACCCAGGGATCTGTTTCTGTAACCTGAAGAATGAATTTGAGTACCTGCTTTTTAGGATACCATAGCTCATTGA